ATGTTGCAAAACCGACCCTGGCCAAACTGAAGGAGATGAAATGGGAAATCATGCCGCATCTCCCATATTCACCCGACATTGCACTTTCTGATTAATATTTGTTTCGATCGCTGCAGAACAATTTGAATGGAATCAGGCATCCGTAAATTGGATGAACGTTGGGAGTGGATTGCCGAACATGATGGCGAATACATAGTTGATTAATAAAAGCGCTTTCTTCAAAAAATTTCAGTTAGTTTGCACTTGAAATCGGGCACGAACTTATACACTCATCCAATAGTTTGAATCTCATTTTGCGTGACAATTTTTTTTTACTTAGAGTGTATGGGCAGGTAGACCTAATGCATTCCGAGATCATGGCTTCCATTGGAGATCGAGGCTCATAATGATCAACATGCCAAGTTTGAAATGTTTTGGACACACAACCAATATTAACTCATATTACAGTTATAAAACGCTGAGATCTGTCACATTCCATGAAGATTATTTATTAATTTAGTCAAAATATAGAGCTTTAGGTCGCAGCAGTGTGCGATATTCAAGTCCAATCAATTATGCCTGACCAGTTAACCAGGCTTTCTTTTGAAAATGACGATTTGACAAATTATTTTCACAACTGCTACAAGTTTCTATTATACATACTTGCTATTCATATCAGAAAAATACTCGGAGGGCTTGCCATTCACTGTAGTGGGGCGACCGCAACTAAAAAATATTTATTTTAAATAATTTTTTATGCTGGTCGTACAAATTTTTATTACATCATTGAGTACCATACAACGACGACCTGCTCTGATAGTAGCTGGAGCGCGTGAAACAATTAAAGGGAGAGATTTTATGCCGAAATTTTACCACAAAAATACTGCCCTGAATTCAGCATAGCCATTTTAGGGATTTTCATGAATCCCTGAAGGTTATTAAATTTTTCATTTTAAAATTTGCGTTGAATAAAATTTAGATTAAAAGCTTCCGACAACTTTAGTAAAGAGTTAAAAAATATTTTTAACATTTTTTCAATTAATTTTTTCTTTAAATAGACTTCAGTGAAAAATATTTTTTTTAGTTGAAAATCCCTAAACTGAACTGAGTTATTTATTAGTTTTAGTTTTGTACAAACCTGCATCGTCACCCAATAGGGAACTGTCCATACTATGAGTAATACCCTACGTTACTAAAATCGCTAGTTTTTCATAAAATCCTACTAAAATTTCGTTTTTTCACTAATTTACTACTTGTTTTCTGCGCGCGCTGTTCTAATCATTGTTAATTTACTTTAATGTTTTTTGTTTGTATGTATGTAAGCTTTTAAGACTAGAAAACCTAAAATTGTTGCTACGATTATTGTTAAATGATTATTTTTTTCTTTAAATTTGTATCTTATTTAGTATTGTAATTAGATATGTCTGTATAAAACGTGCTTGCAACAGCTGACTGACAGCTGAAACCATATTTTTCTTTTATTTTGGTTGTATATAATATGTAGTTTAAATATATATTTATATATATTTCCATTAATAAATGTTAATTAACTAACATTTGGCCATTTTTTGTTAAAATTGCCACCAAAAAGTAGTAATGAAAAATTTCTCTTTTTTAGTCACATTTCATCCGTTTTGCATCATTTCTTCATTTTCTTCGTGATTATGTTTTGTAGTAAAAAGAAAATATAAGCATTAATCTTAATAAACTTGAAATTAATGTTTTTAGTATAAATTTGAAAATGAATAGAAATGAATGTATAAAGAAAGTTAAATTAAAAATCTGCATTTGCAGCAAAAAGTCAGTCTTATGTATTTTTTAATTATGCTCAAATACATAGATATATGTATGTATATGCATGTAGTTATAAATATGTAAATTTTTTCTCCCCAATATAAGGCAATTATTACACATAATTTATTCAAATGAGACCCTTTACTTTTTATTGTTGTAATGTCAGTACGCTGAGTTAACGAAAATGTTGCATTGAATTGAAGGCTCTTTGCGTTTGGTTGGTTAGCGAGTTGTGGCGGGGTATAAGAAAATTATGAATAACAAAACATAAGAAATTAAAATCAAAAAACTAACAAATAAATAAAAAATAGAAAAAAATAAAAACTTCAAAATACGAAATAGACATTTTTGGTCTTCACTAAAGCCTCTCTGAGGCGCTACGCTCATGGATTTTTGGCTGGTCCAGGTGTAATCAAAAATTATAATAATTATAAAATAAATCAAAACAAATCAATAAAACACTTACAGACATAATTCTACATAGTAACTTAATTGAGTACAGTTCACAAGTAGAAAAGAAGTCAAATTTGAAAACTTTATGACGCGCGTAATATTTTGTAATAATTTCTTCTATTGTTTAAGTTGAATTGTGACATTTTTAAGACCCTCTCGATAGAAAAAAAATTTATTAGAATTAAATAATTTTTTTTTTTTGAAATAGCACTTTGAGTTACTTTGAAAAATAGATTTTAAAATTTTTTACACAAATAATTGATTAATATTTAAAAAATATTGTTATTTTGTTTTCTTAAGCACAGCACATTTATATGTATTTACATACATTGAGAAACTTGTTGGAAATATTTAGAAATTGAAATAAAAGCGTAGAGAAATTTACAAATATACAAAAACCAAGCAAAAAAGATTTTTTTAAATAATTTTTCCACAACACTATTTACACTTAGATAAGAAAATATTTAGAAGAAATTTTTTTAGGTGGATTGAAAGAGGAGAAGCGTATCATCTGCGTTTTTTCTTTTTTTTTTTTTGTAATAAGAAATCTACAACTAAAAAACAACATGGTGGAGAGTGAATTAAACAAAGAAACTTCTTAAAATGGTGTATAAATACAGGTTTTGTTTTGTATGTGTATGTTGATTTGCATGTGTGTGATTTAGTGTCCGTGTATTTTATTGAAGACGAAGCAAAATATTTTGTTTTTAAGTTATAGAGAAATGTGTTTTAGAGGAAAAACAATTATAATAAAAATGATTTTTTGCGATTATTTTTTTTGTTTTTTGATAAACATTTTTTTTTAATTCATGTTTTTATATTTTCTTACAATTTCGTACTTTTTTACTAGAAATTGTAAAAAAGACACTATTTTTTTCTATTTTTGCTATTTTTTTTTTAATTTTTTTATTTTCCTTTCAACCACTTTCAATCTTTTTTCTATTAAAGTATATTTTTTAGGACGATAAATATGTTATAAAATACAGAAGAGCAAGGAATATGTTTTTGGAAGCTGGTTAGGTATATTTTTAAATGTAATCTAAACCCAAATAATATAATTTTTTTTTGATTCATGTATTTTCTTTAAATATTTTAAATTTAATACAAATCTTATTTCATTCCCCAATCTTTATTTTTATTTCTAACAAATTTTTTTTATGTCTTTATTAAAAAACCTTATAATTTTTTGATTAGCCAAAATTATGTTTTTTTAGAAAATAACTTTTATTTTTATATATATATTTTTTATTTAAGATCTCATTATTTTATGTCTCTGTTTTTTATGGAACTTTTTATTTAATTAAAAAAAAAAATAGTTTTAAAATGAAATATTTTTTTAAAGACGTCCATTAAATCTACAGAAGAGCACAAATAATTTTTTTAAGTACTTCGTGAAGTTTTATATTTAAAAAATGCGAAAAATATTTTTTAAATGACGGCATTAATATTTTGTTCAATTTTAACTTTTTTCAACTCGCGCTTAAAATTCCAAAAGTTTTGAAGTTTAAAAATTTCTTCAATTCCAAAAACACATTTCTCTGGCACTTTCGAAAATCGCAATGATTTGTTGCTTTCGAGGTGGTGATTTTAAATTTACGAGTAACTATGTACAGTTAAAATGTCTGCTTTCTCTGTTAGTGCTTGTAAGTAGTTAATGTTAAAAAAAGTTTGTTATTGTGTTTTATACATGAATAGTGTAAGTTAAAGTATGATTCAGCAATAAAAAAAATATAAAAAAATAATCAGAAAAGACATCAATTTGAATTTCAAATATACCAAAACAGTAAGATTAATAAAAATAGAAATAATAATAATAAAACCAATAATATTAATAATAATAATAATAAAAATATAATTCTGATATTAATATTAATATTAATAATATAATGATAATAATAATAATAATAATAATAATAATAATAATAATAATAAAAATATAAATCTGATAATAATAGTTATATTAATAATATAACGATAATAATAATAGTAATAATAAAAATAAATATAAGTATAATAATAATAGAAATAATAATAATAATAATAATAATAATAATAATAATAATAATAATAATATTTACAAAAATAATAATGATAATAATAACAAAAATAATAATACGAATTACAATAATTACAATAAAAAAGTAACGATAATAACAAAAAATAATAGTAATTTTAATTTTAAATAATATAGGTATATTTTCGAATCAAGTTTACGTAAGTTTAAAAATTTAAACTTTAAAGTATACAAAAATATTATGTACGCACAAAATTAAATAATTCAATTGAATTAAATTTTTTTTCTTATCTTATAAAATTATTTAATCTTATGAACAAAAAATTTAGATAAAATTTTATTTTTATAAGCACATGAAAAAATTATCAAAAGCAAAAATTTTGCAAATAAATATCAATCAATAATCAATTATAATATAACAATAAATATAGCAATAACAAATAAGGAGCAAAATAAAAAATAAAGGTATTAAAAAAAATATTATTTTTTGCTTACTAATGAGTGTAATTGGTATTAAATAAAAGTAATAATAATAAAAATAATAAAAAAAAAAATTCTTTAAATAAAGCATTTTAATAATAATTACGAAACGCATTATGCCAGTTGACTTGAAAAAAAAAATCAAATTAAATTCTGTAAAATTTTAGAATAACTGTTTTTGCGTTTTTCAGTATTTTGTTTCTTGTATTAATTTCTTTCTCTGGTTTTTTTTTTTAAATTATTTTTGATTTAAGTTTTTCATTACTTCTTTTCAACTAACCTCAGACACAGGGAGAAGTTTCTATGTACTACAACTGACCTGTAGCACAGTGCCATCAAGGTGAAAGTAACAAAAACGAACCCAACAACTGACATTAGTACACCGACCAGGAATACTGTATTTGAGCCGTGGTAGTTCTCTATACGAGTGTGAACGTTTAGTTGTTTGTAATGTCAACGTGTTGTATATATTTTTTTAGATTCATATATGGGTTGAGGTATTAGGGAGGCGGGTGGCGGGTAAGGGGTAGAGGCATTGGTAAGTTGTGTTGTTTGTTTTGATATTTTAATATGTTTGCATTGTTGTTGTTATATTTTTTTTAATATGATGTGTGGTAAAATATAAAAATATTTTTTTTAATGTTTGTAAGGATATATGCAACAATTTCATGTGTTTTTCATGTGTTTAGAAACCGTTAGCAGTTTGGCGCACAGTTTGTCATATTGGGTCAATAGCGGCGTTGACATCATATTATTGTTTTTATTGTTGTTAACGGCAAACGTTGTATGCGACACAGCGACGATTTATTTTTTCAGGTTATTGTTGTTGCGATGCAGTGGATGTAGTTGCAAAATTGACGCGTTATTTGTATAAAAATAAAGTTTAAAATTTTATTTGAATTGATTAAAGGAAAATTATCATCATTATTATTATTTTCAAACATATATATATATATATATGTATAGGCAAGTATGTGGTCGAATTAAAGCTTATTAGGCATTTAACATAGTTTTATCGAAACCAAATATTAATGGAAGGTAGGCAATGGGAAAAATGAGCGTGAATTTCAACGCGTCTTCTTTTTATTTATTTTCTTACTTTCTTTCTCTACATACTATATTTTATATATTTTCAATACATTTGAGTGTTTAGATATGTAAGCAATAAATACGTTCACTTTGGTTTGATCTAAAGACTTTTCCCTTGGCGCCAGTACCAGCTGTTGGTTGTTGGTTGTGGCTTGACTGCCACCCAATTCTTACAATCGGCAATTGACAATTACCACGCCAACACTACCAGCAACCACAACTGCTACATACATATGACAATGGTAATCTTCTAAAACACAAAATGTGCAGTGATTTGATTTGACAAAAGAGTAATGAATGAGCGACGGGGCGTAGAGGAATATCTGCGAGTGGAAAAGGTGGCGGAAATAAGTGAAATTCATGTGTTGAGTACAAGATTATGCGAGTATATGTGTGTAATAGGGTACATAAAACACTCCCACCTCGTTTTGCTAAGTGTAAGAGTATTAGAATAATGACGTCAAGTGAGCTATTTCGCTTATGTTGATGTACGCATTTATTTTCTTGATTTTCCTATTCTACTTTTCTCTGAATTGCATATAGTTTGTCATGCTAGACACGTAAGAGGAGTGTCTTTCATGTATCTAGTTCATTTTTTTATTTTATTTTTCTGCAAGCACTGAAAAATTTGACTTTTACAGCAGTGTGAGAATTGTGATGGATTTTTTCTACTAATGTATATAATATAAAGGTACGGATATGAACGTTTTTAAAACTAAATTTTATTTGTTTTTTTCTTTTCATTTTAATAAAGACTTTCTTTTCAGTTCATTTACACTACCTTATTTTACACTATTAAGCTATTTTTTTTTATTATTTTTTATTCTATTTTATTTTATTTTATTTTATTTTATTTTATTTTATTGTATTTTATTTTATTTTTTTTTGTTTTATATTATATAATTTTTGTATTAAAAAATTGATTTACTTAAAATTAAGTTGTCTTAATTTTTATTTTATTTGATTTTAGTTTAATTTGAATTTTCATATTTCATTTCATATTGCATTTTATATTTTGTGAGTGTTCCTTACTTTGTTATTTATTGTTAATAAAAAAATATGTATTTTTTAATTTAATAATGACAAAGTCTATTTGATATTTGTGTTGTTATTGTATTTTGAAAATACTTTGAACCTTTTATATTACTCCACTGATATGTAGTTATCGAATTATTTCGTAGTTTATGTTTGAATTTGTTTCCGTAATTGAAGTTTTTACGAATCATACGTAAAGATATAAATAAATTAAAAAACAAAAACTTAGACACGTGACATAGGATCAATACATTAATACACATTTGGTCGTTTCATACAGATGATATGAGGTGTTAAATGTGATGCAGTACATATGTACATATATACATAGATGCAGTTAATAAGTGCGGCAATTCTTGTTTATATTATCAAAAATATCTTACACATGTGTCTTTAGCAGCGATTAATTTTGATATTTTTTACATAAATGCGTAGCATTTTATATTCATTATTTTTTCTATTAAAAATACTAATTTCATATGAAAATAGACAAAGATTATTAAATGGCTTCTGAATGACAGTTATAAGTGTTTTTTGCTAAAACAAATCAAAGAAAATATATTCTTGGTACCATCAAATCGGAAAAATGCAATTTATAGCCCAAAGCCTTTCACAATTTTATTAATGAAAATACAGGGTTATCCATTTTGCGGTGTACGGGGCTTCATTTGCCATCTCTCAAATCAAACTGTCAAACTAAATTTGTAATTTTTGAACAAAACAATGCACTTTAATTAAATTAAAAATCAATTTAGTTAACAAAAAAATTCTTATTTAATTCGAAAAACCAACGATTATGATCATTGAAAAAAAATTGAAATCCTGACATTTGAACTTTTAATTTGACATAACGAGAAAAATGTGGTTTCTGTTTGTTGTAATCAAATTAAACCAAAAAGCAACTCAATTTGACAAACACCAACTTTTTTGACAAGCGAGTAGTCAGTTCTGGCAAAGTGTACATATTAGTTAAAAATATTGGAAAATATCAAAATTCGTGTAGTACCATATAAATAAATGCAAAATAAATAAAATATTTCAACAATTTAGTGGACTTGCTGCACATTGTTGTTGTATGTATGTTTGCAACGACAGTGCGCTGCGTGATTTTGTGAACTGTGATCAAATAAATAGACAGATAACAAATTCGTAGTTCAAATGTGCACCATTGATGGGTACAAAATAGAAATTTGTATAATTTTGAAATGAATATTGGCAAAATGGTAAAAATCAAATTAGTAAAACACACATGAGTATGTATGACATATGCATATAACAGTGTAGTTGTGTCATGTATATCGTGTATCTATTTGATAAAAGTATCAATAAATAATAAATAAATGAAAATTAGAAACTGCCACTCAAAAGCACACACACATATACACACACCCAGCCATTCTGGTTGTTGCGAGTAATTAAAAGTGAAATTTTGACAGAAAATTGTGATGTAGCGTGAAAATAATATTTATGGCGATTTTATTTTTTTTATTTTGATTTTTTTCCAATCTTCCATTAACTAAATTTGCACTTGCCAATGACAGCAATTTCAGTGTAGTTACAATTTTTGTAAGAATTTTTTACATAAAAAAATTACTTTCGTTTGTTTGACGGTATTTCATATTACATATGCAATATGTTTTAGAGGAAATCGATAGAATAAAATCTAAATTAACAGTAATATTCGAAATATGAAATTAAACCATTTTCGAGAATTATTTTATTTAGATTTTAATATTTCTCGAAAAAAGTTAGCATAAATTGAGAAATATTTACTGAAAATAAAAGAAATTGGAAATAAAATATTCTGTTTGAAAAATTTATTGATGTGAAGAATTTTTATTTCACTATTTCCAAATATTATATGGTCTGAGACAGTTCCATAAAAGCTTAGAACCAAAAACATTTCAACAATTGCTGGAAGTGAAAAATATTCGCGTTCAAAATACATCAAAAACTTGGAAGAAAATATTTGTAAAATACACTGAAACTGTGATATGAATGATTAGCTATGTGATAGCAGCTTTTGTATCCTTCGAATCTTTTGAAGTAGAGACAAAAAGTGTACATAATCAGTCAGTGAGTGTGTACCACAAACACAATTGCTACTGTGGCGTAGACTATCAAAGAAAACCTGAATGAGTCCATCCGCCAAAGCGGGCCTTAAATGATGCCAGCAGAAATTGTTGAGACACCGTTACAATCTATTTCTATCCATTGTAAATGATTTGATTGGAGTAAATTTGGTCGATTGTCTCAATTTCCTTGTCAATATGAACAAATGTTTTAATGAGCGGTACATAGTGACATTATGGTAAAAAGTTCGCTCGAATAAATCAAACCACGGCAAATAAGTTCTTTAATTGAATGCAAAAGTTATACATGATGCTATCTAAAGAAAGAAGAAACTTACTAAAGCACATATAGCTTTAAAGATGCTTAAAAGAGAAATTATGTTTGTGATGCATTTTATTTCATTATAAAATACTTTAAAAAACTGCAATATTTTCAATCTAAGAAAATTTGATTTAAAAGTTTTCTTTTATCATAATTTGTGCGGTAATTTGCGATGAGTAAAGTAGATAAAAATGTATTTGTGAGCAGTAATAGCAGAAAAAACCAGTTAATTTTGATTAGATTTTCAACTTGATATTGGTTATATTCAGGGTATCAAAATAACCCATGTTTAAAAAAACTTTAACCAAAGTTTGAAAGCTTCCAAAAATCGGAAAAAACATTTATTCACTCGTAATTTAATTTCGCTAAATTTCCCCGTAAAAAAGCGACAGATATCTTTTTGAATTTTTTTTCATATTTTATATTCAATATGAAATTTCAAGATCTGCGTGTCGCTGCTAATGAACACATTTACATATGTACGCATACAATAATTTTTTGCTTGCTTATTATACAAGTGCTCTGGACACAATGATTTTGTTTTTTTTTTAGCAATAACGAGACCTCTTACGAATAAAAATGATAAATTCTTAATATTTTATTTAAAATATTTTTGAATTACATCGTCGAGATCACGTTTGTTAGTAAGAATATAGAAAACACACACGCACAAACAAATTGAATACACATAATGCTGCTGAAAAAAAGGTATTTAAACAAATACAAATACAATCACAACACAAATAAAACATTATAATTTCACAAATACACAGTTATATACACAGTTACATAGGCTTTTAATTGAAATGAGTTAGTTGAAGTAAGTATTTATATACATACAAAATACAAGCGCACACACGTACCATTTATAAAAAGAAAATAAACATATTTTTACAGTTACACATGTTGATAAGAATTATTATTATATAAAATGTTTTGTTTGTAGTTTGCTTTTCGTTTTTGGTTAGAAAATTGGCAACAGCGCAAAGGTACACACATCGACTGATGTGCCAGGGACAGAAAACCAAGCAACAATTTAATTTGAATATTTTTTTTTTGCATTTCAAATTCTGTGTTTATAAATTTTTTTTGAAGTGTTTTTCGGTGTTTTTTTGTTGTAATTAATTTATGTTGCAGTTCAAGTCACTCTGTTTATTTATAAGTAAGTCGAAGTCCGGTGAGCTGTGGCATTTCCTAAGTTTTTAGCAATTCATTTTTTTTAAATTATTTTTGTAAAATTTTGTGACGAAAAATTTTCAAAAATTTTTTTTAACTTAAATATAACGAATTAAGAAAAAATTTCAATAACATTTTATTCAAAAAGAAAATTTAAATTTTAAAGAAAATAAAATGTTATAAATTTGGCATCAAATACCTTGAAAAATAACGGGTTCGGTTGTGGGGAAACAATTTTGAAAATTTTTTTGTTATAAAATTCTTTCTAGCCTGAAAGTTGGCTTTAAAAAAATATATATCTTATAAAGCTTGAATAATCCAAAAACTCATTTGGCAATAAATTCTTTTAGCATAAATTTATACTTTATTTGGGTCATAAACCGAACCTGCTATTTTTCCAACTGTGAATAATTTTAAATATTCGAGGATAGTGTAAACGTCGAATAGTTTTGTGTTTTTTCTATTAACGGCAAAATATTTTTTTTGTTTGGTTTTTGTTTGTCTTGTTGTTGTTGTCTATTTTTTTATACTTTCAATTCGTTCTTTTGTTTTGTTTTTGTTTGTTTTTGCTTGGTACTCTACCTGTAGCAAACCGCCAAAGTTGCAAAACTAATGAAGACGCACTTAACGATAACGGTTAATATGATGACCATGGTTAATGTGCTGATCCTATTTTGATCTGAGGTGCCTGTAGAATGTTGATTATGGAAGGAAGTTTTGTTTCCAATTCGTTCAATGCCAGTAAACAGAAAAACAATCAAATTTGAAAAATTAAATTTAATTTTGTGAATTTTTTTGAAATCTTTTGAGTTCAATTTTTTTTTTGTTTCAGCGGAAGGCAGACAGAATATAGCTTTGCGCGTTAAATTTAAATTAAGATATTTTAATTGTTAAAGTTATTGCGTATATGAGGTGTATATAACTATTTAATGTCTATAATAAGTATATTTTTTCTCTAATCTTTTATAAGTTGCTTTTAAATCACATTTAAATATTTTATAACTGTAATATTTACTGTGACTTGAGCGCATATTGTTGCTCATAAAGCTCAGTAATTATAACTATTTTAACTATTTAGTATTTTTATTAACACTTCAATATTTGGTAGGTAATTTTTGGTTTTTTTCGCCGGAGAATTCCTTACCAATATCAATTCTCAAGTTAAGCTGTGTATTTTTTGTATGAAATAAATATCAGTTATTTATAAAAATCTGTAGTAGTAAAGCAAGTGTGTACAATAGTTGTGGTTTTATTCTTATTTTTACTTTCTATTAAAATTCAAGAACTCTAGCTTTAGGCGTGATTACCATTGTCATATCACAGCCGTGTGGAAGATAAATACGTTTATATATAATATGAAAGCAGTGAATTATCGTAAAGCATATGATTTAAGTAAATGAGATCTTAGCTACAAAATATGTTTCAGTTGGAGAAAATGAAATCGAACAAATTATTTAGCCCATTACCGTGTATAGGAAATTAAAATAATTTCAGAAAAAATGTATTTCCCGAAATCAGGTGTTCTTGATACCAAATAGGAAGCTCTTTTTAATATAGAAATCTATGCAATAAATAAAAAAATCTATCGAAGAAAGCTTATTCTACCTTATAAATTTTTAGAAAATTTATAATGTACAAATTTAAGCATAAAAACAAAAATATATTATTTTCATCAAAACTTTACCAAGAAAGCATAATACACTGTGTTACACAGTTAACTCATATATTAATGTATAACATATAATTGAATTATATTTAAATTAAATTGAAGTAAAAAATTCCAAAAGATAAACAGTAATGGGCTAAACTAAATAGGGCATTTTTTATATCAAACTCTGGAGAAAAATGTATTGCAACACATTGATAAATAACAATTTCTAAGAGATTGATGCCAGCAATATTCCAAATACATAATAATTCAATGATACCGTTGAAACAACTTATAGAATATACATACAAGTAAAGAAATTCCAAAATTAATCTAAATTTAATTGTATACAATAGTTCACCGCTCATTTGATACAAAACCATTTTTATGGACATATATCAGATTAATAAACATTGTCAAATGTGTAATTTTTTATATATGCAGAACACAAAGTTATAAGTGCATTATTTAAAAAGAAATAATTGCATACCAAAATGGAGACAAATAAAATAAAATTAAATAAAATAAAATAAAATAAAATAAAATAAAATAAAATAAAATAAAATAAAATAAAATAAAATAAAATAAAATAAAATAAAATAAAATAAAATAAAATAAAATAAAATAAAATAAAATAAATTTAAAAAGAAAAATAATAATATAAAACAATGTAAGATGAAATGAAATAAAATAAGATAAGAATTTACAAAGATATAAATTAAGAAATAAGAAAATTGAATAAAATAAAATAAAAAGAGATAAAATATATTGAAATATAAAATTGTTTGAGTTCATCTTCATCGGTTCGTTTGCTGAACAAATATGAAAAAACTTATTAAACAGCAAAACGATCGCTGTCTAAAGTTAACTTAGGAAAATAGTAAGAAACAAATCTATGTGCAGGAAATTCTTGCTTTATATTCTGCATATATAAAATGGTATAATTGACGAATTTTATAAAAGTGGATAATTTACTTTTTTTTATTCGTGAATAAAAATTGATAAATCCGCAAGTATATATTTTAAACCACTTGCAAGTTAGAAAGACTGTTGCCCATACTAGTACTAAAACTCGACTTTAGTTAGATAAATTTCACGAAATATCACACTCCTTTCTGCGATTGTGCTCGAGCGAGCACAACATATTAAGTAAGTTTCGAAAAAAGAATTCTACACAATGCATCTTACCATATGGTGTCTCCTTCTTCTCCATTTTGATAGTGTTTTCCGCAGTTGGCAGCGCTTCCGTTGGCAGTGGTGTGGTCAGTAAAACTACAAGGCTACAGTCGATGCCGCCCCAACCCATATCGCAAAAACAGCGATTTGTATTGGTGCAGACCTGGTGTAGAAGAAATACATTGAAAATTCCAAAAAAGACAAAAAATAATATATTAGAACAATTTTTTGTTGTAATTCTTTTCTTTTATTTAACGACAAAATAACAATAGATCAGAGAAGCATCATTTGGTAAATTGATTTTTACATTCTATCATATACGAGTCCTTGCAAATGTAAATATTAATGTATATGTATGAATGTACGCCAAACCTTTTTACATAAATATGCAATCATCGTGAAAGCAGCACTTAAACAATACTGCTCATCAAAAAGTTGCCAGCCAATGAAATGGATTGCAAAAGTAAACAATGATATTGACGCTGTTTGCTGCATATACAAATCAACATTGCTAGCAACCAGATAACCACCGAACCGGTAAACTATTGACCGATGAAAATGAGTGGATTACCCAATAAACAGTTATTGTGGATTAAAATTGTGTATTATTTTTCATTGAAAAGCTTTATTTTTTCCTATTTTATACGTTTTTATTTTATTTTAGTTTGATGTATTTGTTTTTTTTTTTTACTACATTAACTTTTTTTCTATTTTGTTCCTTTTTTTAAGTTTTACTTTATTTTATTTTGAGATATTATTTTGAATTTTTTTTTAATTTACGTTATTTCATTCATTATTATTTTTACATTTTTTCGGTTTATTTTTTTTTTGTAAGCTTACTTCACCTTATTCTGTTTTGTTTTTCAGTTTAATTTTTTATTATATTTTGCTTCATTTAAATTTTTTTCATTTTGTTCTTTTTTTAAATTTTGTTTTCCTCATTTTACTTAATTTTATTTTTATTTTCTTTATTTAGTTATATTTTGTTTTCGTTTATTTAATTTTGCCATATCTTATTTTATTTCATTTGATATTAATGTCGTCTTTTTATTTTGTTTTTGTTTACTACAGTTTCATTTATATTTATTTTTTATTGTATTTCTTGGTTTTATTTTGTTTTTTTTTTTAATAAAATTATTTTTTTTTTTATTTTAGATTATTTATATTTTTATTTTATATTTTCAAATATATTTTTAAAGCGTTTTTTTATTTTTAACTTTTTTTTTTTTTTTGCTTTCTTATTTAATGTAACCTAATTTATTTTTTTAAATTGTATTTTTTATTTTGTTTAAATTTAATATATTTTATTTATTTTTTTAGTTTATTTTGTGTGATCTTGTTTTATTTTACTTTATTTTTTTTTTTTTATGATTTGATTTTATTTTATTTTACTTCTTTTTTTTAAATAAAAATATTTTTCCACCGCTGTTGGGTTCATTCGTATGTGACCTACGATTCGGTCTCTCTGAAAAAGGTTTAAAGGCTTTTTGGAAAATTTTAAATTTTTAATTGCACTTAAGCTCATTTCTATAGCAGCAGCGTTCGGGATCACACAGACACACACATACATACACGCACACTTAGCGCATAGTCAAGGCTGTTGTCCACTGGCGTTGGCCTGCTATAATGAGCTCTGTCGACATTCTTCTGTTCGTACGAGCGCAGATAAGTAATTTCTTAGTGTGAGAGTGTGTGTGTGCTTGTTTTATTTTCATATTCAGATCACTGCTATTGTTATTCTCATTTTGATTATTTGGTTATTTTTTCCTGTCGGCTGGTAGTATGTCAGCACTATTGACCGTAAATGAGTCACTGCATGGAATTTACGGTCGCCTTTTGGCCGATTACTGCACGATACAAGTAAGTATATACATTTCTGACTTTGTTTATATACATATATGTATAGAGGTATGAGTGCGGTGAATCTTAACTGTACTATAATTCATTTGCATTGCATAAAATATTGCTCAACATTGTTGTTGCTATTGCATTCAATGCCGATTGTCGTCGTAAAGAATTATTACAGCGGCCTACTAGCGGTTGCTGCGGCGCAATCGGCACATTCTACGTAAGTATTTATCGTGTGGCATTGCATAATTTAACCACAAAAATTCTTGGTTTGCTTAACTCGCTTTTAAAACTTTATATTTGTAAATGGATATTTCGCTCGTTCGTTAATCGCTTAATAGTAATTTAAATTCATACACTGGTGAGCGAAAATCTGGTAGTTAAAATAGTTTGTTGCTACAAAGTTTTTAAATTATTATTGAAAAAAAATGAAATGACATTAATAATATTTCCAAACTAATGCACAACAAATTGTATAATTTTTTATTTTTATTTTAAATTTGAAATATTAAAATCAATCAAAAAAAAATTGTAAAATGTATGTAAAAAAAAAATTTCACAAAAAAAAAATAAATACTGTTGCTTTTGATTTTTTGCTCACAGAAAGTTCGTAGTGTCAAAAGAAAATATATATATCGCTTTGCTGTGCTCAGCAGTGTATGCGCAGCATCAATTTTGTGCCTTTAACAGTGTAATGAGACTCCGCTCGTGCAATCACCTTACAAGCGCTACTCATTACTGTGGGTTAAATACTGTAATGGTCGAACGGTCACAAGCTTAAATGATGCAACATTACCTGGAACGCAACATATTGACGAGAAGCGAAAAAATAATTTTCAGTTTTTAATAAAGCGATTATGCAACGTAAAGCCAAGACAGAAATTTCATAATGATATATCGCCTTAAAAAGCTACAACTTTTATTAAATTGTTTCCCATTTGCTCACTCTCTTCATACATAATTATAGAGCGATTGAGTGAGATGCAAACAGTGTGAGTTCATAATTGTATGTACAGCCGTAAATATATGTGCCTGTACTTTTTAATTAAAAACTCACATTTTTTATCAGTTTTTTCTTCACTCCACTCATTTTTTAATTATTAAGTTAATTTTTTATTACTTTTTAAAATCATTATTTTTGCCCTTTCTCTTTTGTTTTATTTTTCTTTTGACATATTACTTACCCCACGTCCTGAACATTCTTTTCCTTGTGAATCTGTTGGGCATTTCGTTTGATCGATGTGTGGAAATATGCTGACGCAAGTCTGATTCAGACAAATCAAATTATTACCGCATGGCGTACCATCCTTAACCAAACCGTGATCCGGATACTCATTGGCGCCCACTTGACCGCTTGTCGCTCTAGAGATTGCATTAAATTGTTATTATTAGGAGAATGTTAATATTGGGTGCAGCCATTATTACAATAAATGCTTGTGAAAATTCATTAGAATATACACATATTTTTGAACTGATAATAAAAAAGTTATTTAAAAAAAAATTGATATATAATTGGAAAAGTAAATAAAATTAGGAAATATAAACTATTTGCTACAAAGTTTTTGTTTAGTTGCGTAAAGTAGTTTTAAAATAATTTTATAAACATATCACACACTTTATGTTATGCGACTACTATTTGGGGTAAATAAATCTTTTTCTTTTTTAGTTTGATATAATTTTAAAACTTTTAATTTAGATATTGAATTTTGTTTAATAAACTTTTTTTTACGTTTTACAAATTTTTCACAAAGTTTCTTTATAAAAAAATTCATAAGCCACAAGTAAATGACTTTTTTATTAATATAATTTTATTCTTATTAAAAAATAAAATTTCACTGAATAAAATATTTGACTTTTTTTTAGATTTTTGTGAAAGCTTAGCTACATTTGATTCAAAGCATGGAATTGAAATAAAATATATTTTTATTAAATTTCGTGATTTTTTATTTTAACATTTTACAATTTTTTTAAAAATATTTATTCAGTTTTTTTGCTTAATGAATTTTCAACAACTCGACTTCTTCATTGGTCGCCATAGGCAGAGCTTGACGATGCATTTTGTTTATATTTTTTTTTTTTAGTTTAATTTGAATTAATTTTACTAAATAAAATATTTGTTAACTATTATAATTTTTTTTGTCTAAATTTTTATTAATTTATTTAATTTTATTAAAAAATTGCAATTTTTCAACATTCGGTGCTTTCGGTTAAATAAAAATAAATCGAAGTTTAGTTAATAAAAATTGCATTTTTTTTTATATTTTGTCTTAAATTTTTTCTGTTTCTTATATGTTTTGGTATAAAAACACAACTTTTTTTTACATAGTCACAGATTATACAAATAGTTATTTATATATTTTTTTTATATTTTTTGCTTACTTTTTGCGAGTAAAAAAATTTTTTTCACTTTGAATTTTTTCAGTTGGAGACCGAAAAGAATGTTTGTCTTCAACTTATTTAAATTCTGGGATATATGTCATAATATTTTAATTTTTAACGCATAATATAATTCATAAACCACAGGAGTGCTTAAGTATAAAATTTATTTAGTAATAAATTAAGAAAATAAAAATAAATTTCAATACTTTTAATTAATGCAAATTTAATTTTAATATTTATTTAAAGTTTTAACCTAATGAGTAGTTTAGAACTATTTTAAAATTCCATTGCATATTACTTTTTTTAATTTAATGTATTAAGCACTACATAAAATGACAAAATAGTAAAATGCGTTTTACTCACTTGCACGTATATTCCATGCCTTTGATTGAGATAATTGTACTTGAATAAAGTTGATCAATACCATCGTTCACAGGCTGGCGCTCACCCTCCTTGCATTGCAGTGTGCCGCATTGCACATTTCTATAAAATGAAAAAGGTAAATAAATAAAATTATAAATACAAATAAAAATTTTTTTTTATTTTTTTTTCTTATTTAATAAAAAAAAAATTATTATTCACTTTATTTAAATTATTAAAAGATTTTTTTTTTAACGCAGTAAGTTATTTATCCTTAAACTAATTATTATTCTAATATCTTTATATTGATATTAAGAAAATTATATTCAGAATTCAAAACCGCTAAATGGTGTACTTACTCTGGTTCACATTTAATATAATGCTCATTGGCATCACGCCCACAATGACCATTAATCGAACCCTTCGAGTTGAATTGCTCATAACATTGACGATCTGCTGCCAAACCGCCATAACCCCAAATCGCTTCGCATTGCAAATTCAAGGTGGGACAGTCACCTTGAAAGCAATAACCTGAGGAATTAGAGAAAAATAGTTATTTCTTTTTTGGGAAATGGCACACTTTTTGTTTAAGAAGAAAAAAGATCTTTTTAAATAATTTTTTTTTAATATGTACTAAAAATACCTATGCATTGCTTTTTCTTTCGTTTTTTACCTGATGACACTCCTGCTTTTGAGTGTCCACACGGTGAACCGTTTTTTCGAAACACATCCATTGGGCAGTGACCACTTTCACCATCACAATACTCGGGTAGATCGCATTCGTTGAGCGCATCGCGACATACATAGTCTTTAGGACGTAGCTGTATGAATGACATATAGCAATATTTGAATATTTATATTTGGTTGGATAAATTTGTTAGTAAAAAAATAAATAAATAAGATGCTGTTTACTGTCGAAAATATCATAATCGTTGTTTCGAAAAGTCAAAAACGAAATTTTGAGTTTGAGTTTTAGTTGACACCAAATTTCACTGAGGTTATCCAAAATTTATATAATGAAATTACGATAATTCTCGGTAAGGGTTCTACGCATTAAAAATATTAATTATTAAATTGCCGTAAGATACTACAAGCTTTGCAATAAGGTAACATATTACTATTTTACGTTTATTTTAATATTAACATTTAACAAAATTTATTACAAACGTTTGTAAGCGTTGTCATAAATCTCTTCTATCAGTACAAAGTTAGTTTCTACAGAAAACCCAAAAAGGTTATTACGCCTAAAATTATGTAATAAAAAAGTGATAAAAATGCTCAAAATTTAAATAAATTCGTAATTTTGAACCACAATAGTGTTCACTAAAACTTGTTAGCATTGCTAGAATACTTATAAGTAAAATACACTAATATAAGTATATGCACATATATAAAATATATTAAAATACTTACGCGACATTCATTACAACAAGTGCCGCCGGCACATTGTGCCTCCGATTTCAGTTTACATGTGATCCCATCACAACATGGATCCAAGGCACACTCCTCAATTGTGCCACAATCGCACTCTTCATCCTCTTCGACGATCTTATTGCCACAATTGCGACGCATTTCGATCTGTAAGTGAAATATATAAAATGATATTATTTTTTTTAATGAATACATTAATGCAGGGACTAAATTTTAAAAATTGTCTTCTAAAAATAAATAAAAAGATTATGAAAAGACACAATTTCAGCACTTCTTAAAAATTTAAGGTATATTTTTGAAGTATTATATTGGTGTAAATTTTTAAATCATTTAAAAGTAATTGAAAAAGAAGTTTTAATTATTTTAATTCATTAGTTTTTTTATTTTATTGCATATATTAATGTTATTTAATGAAATTTAACAATATTGTTATTTTTGGTTTTTTAATATATTTTATTGTGCTATTTATAATTTATTTTATTTTATTATTTTTAATTTATTTCATTTTATTATTTTTTTTTGGTTTTATTTCACATTTCTTTCTTGTTTTTACTTTTTTATTGTATTGAATTCATTTCAATTTTAATTAAATAATTTTATTTTTATTATTCCCTTTATTATTTTATTTTCCTTTTAATTTATTTAATTTTGTTTGTTTTTGTTTTATTTTATTTCATTTTACACAATTTTATTTTATTGTTTTAATTTTTTAATTTAAATTAAATTAATTTTTTATTTCTTTTTATCTTATTTTATTTCATTTCGTTTCATTTGATATAATTTTGTTTTATTTTATTTTATACGATTTATTTTCAAATTGTTTCTTTTTTATTTTATTTTATAGTTTTTTATTTTTGTATTTTATTTGATTTGATTTTTTTTATTTACTTAATTTAATTTTATTTTATTTTAGCGAAATTTCATTTCACATTATTTTATTTTAGTTTTTTATTTAATTTTATTTCACTTTAACTAAATTACCTTATGCCTATGATTTTATTTCAATTTATTTTATTTTATTGCAATTTTATTTCATTTCGTTTCATTTTATCTGATTTTGTGTTCTTTTATTTTAGTCGATCTATTTTCATTTAGTTCCTTTTTTTGTTTTATTTTATTGTTATTTATTTTTGTATTTTATTTGATTTTATTATATAGCACTTAATTTAATTTAATTTAGCGAAATTTTATTTTACATTATTTTATTTCAATTCATTATTTAATTGTATTTTACTTTAACTAAATTATTTTATTTCTTTGATTTTATTTAAATTCATTTTATCTTATTTTAATTTTAATTTTATTTGATTTTATTAAAATTTATTTAATTTACTTTTTTAATTTTTATTACTCTCTTCTATTCAGTTTTGTTTTATTTCACTTAATTTTGTATTTTTAGATTTAATATTATTTTACTTTATAGTTCTTGACTTCAAAACTCAACCGTTATTTTTGTATTCTCTTTTTTTCTTTATTCCATGTTGTTTTCTTCTTCTCAAAATACACTTTCCAATTTATCTAAAAGCGCTTACATAATCCAATTAAGTAAAGTGTTGCCTTGCAATTGCTTCTGCTGCTGCACGGTAGAAGAAGATTGAATGAATGATTGTCTCCGCCGACTGCCAGAGAGCAACTCACAAATGTCAAAAATAGTTGCAGCTTTTTATAAAATTCGCCACTAATTCGCTAGAAATAACAGTATAGCGTGTCACGCGTGTTACCGTCACAAGTTTCACTTTGAAACTGCAACAACCTCCAAATTGCAGTGAAAGTCACTCATACGCCACCGGGGCTGTTGGTGAAGTGTACGTGCAGCGTGAAGAGCATAAAGCACAGCAGCCAGCATTGCAACAAAACAATACAATGCTGAATTGCAATGCAACGAAAGCAAAACAGAAAATAAAATAAATATGAAAGGATGAAAGTGTAATAGAAAAAAAAAAAATTGAAATGAAAATGAAATCGGAAAGAAAAACAGAAAACAGATTTTTCTAACAGGATTTGAATGTAGAGACGGCTCAGCTGAAGCTGCGCCTTGTTATGATGTGGCTGAAGATAGGCGCATGTGGCGGCACTCAACACCAAGCGCACCAAGTGCCCAGCTCTGAGGCTGTGGGCCCTTCGCTTTCCGTGGTGTTGTTGGTGTTGTTTGGGTGTCGAGTGCTGTGTTCGGGGCACAATTAACCTCAGCAAGGCAATGCACACGCGCACACATTTACATATACTCGCTCATACATTCACATGTACGTGTATGAAAACATTCGCTCAAGTGCAGGCTTTCAAGTGTCTGCCGACGCAGTTTGTTATTTTCTGCATGTAAATTTTTCTGTATGTATGTATGCATGGATATACGCGTATATGACTGATTGTGTGTTGGAACAATAAATGAATACAACAACTAGAAGAGCAACAACAAGAAGAGCGGAAAAAGTGAGCCAACAAAATTGCCACGAACGAGGTCGCTGCGTTCACACATGACTGCGGCCGTAAGAGGAATAAAAATTGAAGAGGCGTACGCATTGGCAGCAAACACATTCACATTCGCGGCCCTTATACAATTTATATGTGTCGAAATATATGGTATAAAAGCTCAGTACTCGCTCGAAACTAGTTACGCCTCTAAATAGATTATAATATTTTATAATTTATTTGGAACAGTTAAAAATTATTTGACCGAAACTCGGATTATTTTGAACTCATTGAATAATTTTGCATAGAATAAACAATGATTTTATTTGAAATCGAATCCACATTAATATCTTTAAAGAAAGAAATTTTGAGTTTCTTATTAAAAAAGCAAATGAAATAAAAATCTTCTGAGACTTGATCTTTTATAATTCTGCTTCGAGCTCAGTCACATAACTAATAATTTGAACGATGCTAGCCTAGAACTGATGCAAGATTAAAGGTGAGGAGGGTTCGAAAAGCTTTTAGTACCGTCTTGTAATCAGCCATATTCCTGGGTACTTAGAGCCGGCTATCTCGGTGAAATAGTAAAGAAAATGGTTGATATACCGTGTCTAGCACTCCTTTGTGATAAGCTGCACTCAGCGGAAGTCGTCTCCTATCTCAATATTTTGTTGTTTTTGTAACCAAAAAATTTTCATCGAATTGATTGTCAGGTAATATTGTGGGAGTGATAGATCTGACCGAATAAAAATCCGCTTTGTTCCGGTATAAAGATCCGACTGTTTAGGGAACTATTGGATTTTAGTGGCCTCTTACGACAAGCATGCCTTACCACTGGTAAATTGTTGAGTTGCTAACCCTTCTTTACTTAGTAGCAGTTACTAAACCAGATTAATTTCTGATTCTTACTTGTATTTTTATTCGAATTTGTATTTGTTCTTAATCGTTTTCGTATTCGGGATTCCGATAATCCTATTTGTATTCGTGCTCATGTTCGTATTCATATTCGGGGTTCGTATATACGAAAATGATTATTGGTCGCATTCTTATTCGTATTTGCACCTACTTACCACCACGTGTTCGTATTATTAATCGTATTTGTAATTGTATTTGTATTTGTATTCGTTCGTATAAGTACTTGTATTCGTGTTCTTATTGTTATTTGTGTTTAACTAGGTATTCGTCTTCTCATCTGGATTCGCTTTCGCAATCGCACTTCGATTCGTGTTCTTATTCGTATTCACATACGTATTCGTATTAGTATTCGCATTCGCACTGGTATTAGTATTTGTATTCACCCTCGTACTCGCATTCGCACTTCGATTCGTATGGTAAATGGTATTCGTGTTCACATTTTCATTCATATTTGTATTCGTATACAGAAAATATATATACAAGCATGCTGACAGGATGATAATGCCAGAAGGAACTAAGCTTTTTTATTTAAAAAATAAAATAAATATTAAATCAATTCCAAATCTTAAATCCTTTCTAATTTTATAGCTCTAGAGGCTAGTTTCTGCCGGGTTGATGTCCTTACGTCCAAAGGCTTGACTTATGTACTATGTGGATCAAGCAAATCAGTCAAGTGAATGTCTCAATGCTGGTATAGCAAAGGAAAAAGTGCTCTGAGTAGAGGTGTTAAGAAGAAGAAAGGAAAATACATGAATTTATAATGAAAAAAAAAAAACAGATGAATAATGTAAGGAGAGGCTTAATTCGGATGGATTGATATGGCTCGAGCATAACATTTAGAAAGCAAAATAGATTTGATTTTTGGATATGCAATAAAGAACCTTTTTCTAGTTCATAGTATTAGTATTTATACTCATAATTCCCAATAGTACATTATTGTCAAAACGTTTATGAAGCTATCAGGGTAGCAACAGCTACCAAATAATTAAGCATTTGAAAAACATGCTCTCATAGGCGTTAACAATATCTTTTCTTGATTTTAACGTATTTTGTGAATGGCTTATGAGAAAAGCAGAGAAATCAGTTTATATATTCATTCGTTTAGCAGAAACTGCAGTTATTTATAAAAAAGTTGCATATTTTTTGGCGCATATCTGCTTCTCTACTCTGTAGGTATTCCAGCAACTCAAAATTTTCAAAGCCAAATATTCAGTAGCTATGCAAGATCATTCCATTTGAATCTTTTTGTGCAAATTCATTGCCGCTCACTCAGCCAAGCGCTGCTGCGCTTAAAAACATGTATTCACTCTGAACTTGCGTTTGCCTTGCCCGAACACGCTTTTCGTTCGTAACGCACTCACCAGCTTACTCTCATGTCCAGCACAACTAAATAATCTTAGAAGCAAGAAGCACGCCATTAGCTGATACTGCGATTCTATCTGTTGTTACTTTCGGTCTACGCAGTATACATATTTACCCACGGTACCAGCACTAACCAGCAACAATTTCGTCATGAGTTCCAACACGGCAAACAATTGCTACTTTGGATTGAGTAGGCAATTGCAAAGTAAGCCCTCTCTCGCCGAACAAAGACCAAACTTTACAAGTCGCTTTAGATTCCCGTCGTAGTATGTGGTTAGGATTTTTTAGAGAAAGATTTTACGAAATATTTATGTACCTCTGCGAGTAGTGGATGAGGAGTATCGATTTCCTAAGCTTTGAATATTTTCGATGCAGTACCAAGAGTCAAATCAAAGGAAGAGGAACACCCGCACTTCATTGGAAATGCCAGGTAGAGAAAGGCCTTGCTGTACTTAATTGGTATTTCCAAATAAAACCAAAAATCGAAAGGAAGGAGTAAATGACGCGCTGCTATTAACACTGCTAAAATCGCGTAAGCCGTGTCTACATCAGCAAAGAAAAAGAAGAAGAAAGACGCAGGGGTGCCGCTAAGAGTTATTAAAATCCAACCGTTTCTGCGATAGTCGGATCTTTATATGGATTTTTATCCTGCCAAGGGCTGTGATCTGTGCGTCATTGGACCGTACTTCTTCAAAGATGATGCAAATCGTAACGTATCTGTGAATTGTGAACAATGGATTTATTGAGAGGCGAGATCGGCGAACATTTTATTTCACGTTCGGGACCGTTCAATTGGCTGCCTAGATCGTGCGATTTAACGCCTTTAGACTATTTTTTGTGGGGCTATGTTAAATCTCATGCCTATACAGACAAGTCCGCTTCAGTTGACGGATTTGAGGATAACATTTAAACATTTATTCTTGAGATACCCGGCGAAATGTTGGAAAGAGTACGCCAAAATTGGACTAAGCGGGTGGACCATTTGAGACTCAGTCATGGTCAACATTTGCATGAATTAATCTTCAAACATTAAATTATATGGACCGTACTATCGATTAAAATAAATACTTTATGCATTTTTCCGAAATTTATGTGCTTTTTTGTAAAACTTTCCTATAGCTCTTAAAAACTAGTAGGCTGGCTAAAGGAAGAACAGGTCAGCTACTTATTAGTGCCATATATTGGCACTTCGGACAGACAATGACATATGAGTTACCGGAAAAGGACTACGTTTTAGAGCCTAGTTCGATGATTAAAACATCAGATTCATTTCGACAAGTAATAAAAAGGAGAGTAAATGTTCTTCTACCTGGACTTCTATACCTCAGAATGTATAGGGATGAAGTTTGAACTCCAACAAATTTTTTAGCAGTGGGAAAAAGATGAGTTTGCAATGAGGGACGACAATAGTGGTAAAATAAGAAAACAAGGGCTTTATAACCAAAATAATAAAGAATAATAATAAGCGTCCCATACACTCTTAAGAGATCGCATTGTTGATTCTACTGTGCCGATTGTGCGCATCACCGAAAATAACGCCTGGGTTTAAAAAGTCACTTAACTCAGCACTGAGAATAGTAATGACTAGATTGATTAAAAAAAAAACGGAAAAAACCTAGATCCAAGTAGACGACTGTCAGTCGTAATGTCCGTGTGTAAGGTGAGCTAACATACACATACATAGAGGAGGACCCATCTTCAACATATTCGTCACTTATTTTTGCATTTTTTTATGTTCGTAAGCCAAAACACTCAAAACAAAAGATTCATTTATGCAAAAGAAACTCATACATATGCATGTACTCATATGTGAAGTACTTGCGTAAAAGTATGAGTGTGCCATACAATGCGCCTAAAATGCTGCTTCATTATGAAACCGAGGTAACTTATGATGCCGAATGCATTGTTCGAGAAATGCGCCAGCGATATGAAAATGACAAATATGCAGATAGCTGTGTATGTGTATGCAATGGCTGCGGCTACAACAACCACAGCCACGAGCATCTTCAACTGTTATTGCTACTGACCCAGTGCCAAAAAAAATCAAGACAAAAGCCAAAAGTGCTGCACTTTCACGCCATAGGCATTGTCGTCGTCATCTTCCACGCTCTGAGTGGTTATTGATGTAGATGTGTGTGTAAGTGTGTGTGTAAGTGTGCGTGTAAGTGTGCGTGTGTGTCTTCCCACTTCGTTTATGCAAAAATTGTCATCATTGCGGCATTGCTGACGCTCGTTTATTTGTTTTTTTTTTTACATTTTTCGTCACTCTTACACTGACGCTATTGTTGGATCATTTTTACAGTAGTTTCATTGTTGTTCTTTCTTTGAAGTGTACGCTCGTACGTACGAACATATTTTCCAGGAAGCCAAGAGCTTCTAGCAAACACTGTGCGGAGTGTGTATATGTGTTTGCGCTTAGAAGAGAAAAAATAAATAAACAATGCATGCATACAAACATCAAACAGCAAATATCAGTGGCTGTTGTTGCTGTTGTTTTCGTATGCAAACACTGCGTCGCGTCAATACCAAGTGCCACAGGGGTGTGCAGGAGAGAGCTGATAATTCGCTAGCCTCGAGCTTCATGTTGCACGTTGCACACGTGTCAGCTGCATTCGTCCTCAGGCGATAGCTACACTTGATCGTGTTTCTTTGTTGTTAAAAATGTCACATTGCGCACAAGTGTTTTGTTTACTTTATTATCTTTTTTCGCCTTTTTCATTGCTGCGTACGGTTGTTGGAAAGTCTGCTTTCCGTTAGAAATTCGGATTTGTTTGTTTTATCCTTTTGGCTTACTATTTTAGTTTTGCTTTCTCTTCAAAGGACTAGATTCTATCCAAGCGTGATTTTCTAGGAATTTAAGCGGTGAAACATATCTTCTGCCGATGTTTTATATTTGAGAAATAAGAAATTTTTATTTCAGCATTTTATTATTCAATAAATTTGGAGTGCTGCCTTTTGCTTAATTTATCTATTCCTTGTTGAAGGGTTTCTAGAAAAGCACATGAAAGGTTAACTCCAGGGTATGGTTATAATAAGTAAAGCCGAGCTCCTTTGGGCTTGGCCTTTTCAACAAAAAAGTGTTTATGTCCATGCGGACACCACGACCTAACCAGCGTGGCCGCTGACCTCCATTCGCTAACTTATTTCGATGTCGTCATGCATCTTTTACAGCTAATCCTTGCATTGACTGTCAGTTTGCAAAAGGATTCTTAGTCGTACGTAAAATCTTTGAGTTAAAAAGCTCCCAATATCGGCTCATGATAATATTGGGTGACCCTAAGCAGGCTTTCCTTCATCTAAGCGGGGCTCTATGACGTCAGTGTTAATTAATCTGAAGAAAGGAGAGCTAACTCTCGCAGTTGTTGAGGTCGATGATGCCAATATTATGCCGTAGCTTCCCTCTGCTGAGTTGTTGATGAATGCGCTCAGTACTGCCTTCTGCGCAAGTCCAATAGCAAACAGCTTCGACATCGAACTTCTATAATTTTTATTGACGGCAGTTAATAACAGACTCAGAAGTCCGAGGAGTGTATAAATATCTAGAGCACTGAATGTATGTGTCCGTCTATCGCAACATTATCGATATAGGTTTGAGTCTTTACATCCAAAAAGCCAAGTGACTTGACTCTTGTACTGGAATTTGGTAGTATATAATATATAATTGGCGGTTTGTAACCGCTGATGCGATTTTCCGCCGAGCTCCTCCTCTAATTTGTGGTTTTACGTCTTGATGTTTTTCCAACAAATGGAGGAACCTACAGTTTATATTAAACCGCCTCTGAACGGCTGGTGGTTTTTTTTTGCGAACCCTTTATTTCATGTCCGGAATAGTTTTCTCAAATAGGGAACTGGGTCTCTACTGCCCAATTGAAAATAAGGAAGAAAGACTCGAAAAGTGATAAATTTACTAACTTGAAAAATAAAAACTTAAAGCCTTTCAACAGCAATGTTCTGCTGGGGGGACTACAAATATAATTGTTATTTTTTTTTTTTTTTGATAGCGACTTCATCGGTTCTTACCAAATTTCACACTTCGATCTAAATGTGTATGCATGGACTTTTCTAATGATTTTTTTTCTCCGATCTCTATCGTTTTGTTGAAAACTTACCTCATTTGGCTTATTGAGTAAACACAACCCATGTCCGGTGCGTAACGCATCGATAAAATCTTTTTTACTACATTCGGAGAATTTATAAGGCTGCACATTCTCCTGGCCAACAATCGATTGGGCCATTATGCAGCCATGCCAGTCACGACAGAAGCACTCCTCACCTGCGGGCGAAATAAGAGAGTAATTATTCTAATGATATATGTGTGTATGTATATAACATCAGTAGATTTTGAAAGGCGAAAAAGAAAAAAAACTAAATAAATTTGAATAATAATTTTTACTATATATTTGTAGGCTGAGAAAGATATTCGTCGTAGTTATTTATTTACTTATTTATTTATTTATTTATTTTTTTATTTACTTATTTATTTATTTATTTACTTATTTATAAATCACTTCGAAGTCGTGTGTATGATCGACCATTAATTTGAATGAAACGGCATAGATATACATATATAAAGCACACTCTTATCTGATATATACCAAGAGGCATGGTGACTGTAGCCAACAACAGCAATGTTAATCGCGCTTATACTTTTTTTATGTACTTAAATCGAATAAAAAAAAAACAAATAATATTTTCATCAATAAATTTATGCAAGCGCATGTCTGTGCGTGTGTGCGCGCGTCTCATATACACACAGCCAATAAAATGGATGAATGATGAATAGAAACGCAAGGAAAAATGGTTTACACCCACATCTCACTCCACCCCATATTCACGCAACCGTTATTTGTTGAAAATAAAATTTATGAATTTCCATTAAAACCAAATGCATCATCACTTTGGACACTCGAAATGCTCAAACAAATATACATTTGCATATTTATAATAACAGTAGCAGCAATAACAACAACAAGAACATAGATTCATTATGCCGTTTTGGTCATCAATGGAAGCTTAAGTTGATAATGGCTGTTTGAGTACAGAATTGAAAGCACTCCTCCCAACCACAGCCAAACGTATACATATAAATAAGCGTGTATATGTATGTGATGTATGATGGCTGTTGTTATAAAACACTTATTGCGGTAGAGGGTGGTGAGCTCAGCTGTTTCCGTAGAGCTTTCTTCTTTGTCTGTTGATTATATGGCGTTAAGCGTTCGTCATAAATCAGCCAATTCAGTCGATTATTATGATGCTTAAACATATATTCAAGCACACATATATACATACATATATATGTATGTAGCTACCGAAAATACATCAAAGAAAATTTATGTGTGGGCGCATTTTTTGGTGAAATCACTAAACAGTGTTGGGTTGTTTACTTTTTTTTTATGATTTGCTAGGTATTTATAATTTTTATTGTTGAATATTTATTTATTCATATTTTCTTACTTTACCGTTGTGCGTGAAAATAAAAAATGTGCGCTAGGAGACACATTAATGCGTGTTCTGGCAGAGGAAGATCAAGAGTGATTGCCATTTCACTCATATCTATCAAATGGAAATTTTGTACAAAAGTAAATAATAATAATAAAAAAAAGAATTCAAAATTTGAGGAAAATGAATTCAACGATAAATGAAGATTTCTGAATAGTTTCAAGAAAAAGAAATAGTAACACTGTGTGTTATTTTTGAATCAATAATAATCTTCCTTAACACAATGTTTTGCTTAACAGATTTTTATTAAAAACAAAATATTTCGAATATGGTGTTCCAAATAAAATGCTGTTAAACATAAGAAAGGCTAAAAATAAATTCACCAAACCAAAAAGAGATGTCAGAGCAGCGCATTTTCCATTTAAATATTTAAAACCCCGCTTTTATCTCTGGAACTATTATATTCCAAAGTATGCCAAAAGACGCAAGATCAACTGCGGAAAAATAAATAATTCGAAGAAAAATGCATACAATTTGTTTTTTTCTTCTTTGTCTGTTCCACTTTATTCCACCATAGATAAGCTGAAGATTGCTCTTGAGTTTTCTTCTAGACCCTAAGAGAAAACTGATCTCCAAAAAAAAAAAAATATTTCCCGTGTATTGCCAGCAGTAGTTTGAAATTGGAACTCACATTTAAAAAATATTTAAACGACCTTTCCTTGCATGCATCATAAATAAAATGAAATAACGGAAAATATTACGGCAATAAACCGAAACTGAAAATCAAAAGGAACCACTAAATGTTTATAGCAATAAATAAGTATTGACAATAAATCTTTAGCGTAATATCTTCTCTAAATGACTAGGTAAACAAATTATCTATCTAACAATAAATTATATATGTATGTATATCGATACAACCATGAAAACTGATGTATGAAAGGAATGTTAGAATTTATAAATAAAGCAAGTTTATGGAGTGATTAATTTTAATAAGTCACTCAAATTGTTTGCTCATTAAACACCGAAGAAATCTGCAACGCAAAACTATTAACAATTTAATATTAAAAAATATGAATAAAATAAAAAAGTAAAATATAAATAAAAATAAAATAAATATAAAAAAATGAAATAGAAGTAAATAAAATATAATAAAACAAAAGAAAAAATTATAAAAATTAAAAAAAAAGAAACTATAAACAAGTAAAGTAAAATGAAATAAAATAAAATAAAATAAAATAAAATAAAATAAAATAAAATAAAATGCAATAAAATGAAATAAAACAAAATGAAATTATTAAAAAGTTAATAAAATAAAATAAAATAAAATAAAATAAAATAAAATAAAATAAAATAAAATAAAATAAAATAAAATAAAATAAAATTAATTAAAATAGAAGAAAAGAAATTAAAATAGAAGAAAAGAAATTAAAATAAAAAAAAGTTGAAATAAAACAAAATAAAATAAATGAAATAAAAGAAAATGAAAAAGGAATTAAGAAACATATATCAAATATCGAATAGTATTAAATAATAAACTAATTAAGAAATGAAACAAAATTAAACTAAATATAAATTCTTCAAGGATATTAAATTAAAATTAAACGGAGTTAAAGTAAAATATTTCCATACAAAACGAGTTAAACACCTTAATGGTAAACAGAGTAGAACGAAATGTAAAAAAATTGGAATATATTAAATAAAATTTAAAAGAATTAATTATTATATATAGAAAAAGCGATATAAATCAATTTAAATATTTTTAAAATAACACGAAGTCGATTAAAACATAAAAAACTAAAAAAGATGAGGTAGAAAAGAATTGATTTATAGCAAAATATTTGTTTACAATAAATTCTCAGCACTTACGTCCATCATCATGACCCATGCCGATATTATGGCCAATCATATGCGCCATTGTGCCCGCCAACAGATGTGGCTCATACACATTAATATCGACGCTGATGCCAATCGCACGGGGCGTACACACCGTCTCCGGCACAGCCATGCCCGCTTCGCCGCCAGCAAACGTCTCGCCGCTATAAAAAAGATACAGAGAAAGAAAAAGAAGAAAATGAGTTTGTTAATAAAGGGCGACGATCATAACAAAAATACACATGAAATTACCAATGACCCTCAATCCCACGCAACGGTAATTTTTACCCAGTTGATGCTTTTTCTTATTTCTCACAGTTTCAAGTCAATAAAAAAGGTTCACACAGCTCAACTAAATTGCGTTGATGAGCCTTTGAGCTGTTATATATACTATATATGTATGTAAGTATGCAAGTATGTACTTATGTGCTGTACCCGTTTACTTGAAAATAAATATTTCAACACAAGTGGCCGCAATTACCAATTGAGGATTTATTAAAAATTCATTGAGTCACCAAAAGACAGCCAACAAGTACAACACAAGGTTGTTGTGCATTATTAGGTATGTATTGTATGTATGTTTGCACAGCAAGAATGAGTTCAATCAGTGCAAATGAATTTAAAACTTTCCGTAACACGCCAGCGGTATGGCAAATTGCCTCGAATGGAGGATAGCCAATAAACAGCGGAAGAATGGTGAGAATGTTTAGATTCAAACGAAGTGCAAAAAAACAATGGTTTAAAGGGTGGTTTTTAATATTAAATTCAATTCTTCTATCTAAGTTGGCATCATTTTACAAGGGACGCAGGAAAATATTGTTGAAAAAGTGTTGCAAAAAGGTTGTCAAAGAGTAGTGGCAAAGATTGCTCAATTATGGGTGTTTAAGGTTTTACGTGTCGTGAAGTGCGCTCACTAAGTGCACCCGAGGTGATAAGTTTTACGCGCAGAAGGATATGATTACAAGGCTTTTGACAATGATTGCTTGTATCCCACAGGCTACGAGTGGTAAATGGAAACTAAATCTCAAAGTAATATTAGCTGGGCTTCGGATTTCATCTAAATGAAAAAAAAAACTTAACAAAAATCGTACTTGTTTTTGTAAGCTTCGTAGGGAGAAATGAAGGAGAAAAAGAGCGAGAGATTGCAACACAGAGCTACTGATTTTTCTTTTCAACTTTGTTGTTGTCAATTTAAGCTCTTGTGAAGAGCTTTTTGAGGTATGACAAGGACATCCCTTATGATCAGAAATCATGATGGCTTATACCAGATAATTAGCAGTGATTCGAAACTGTTGTCATGAATTTATTATGAAGACCAATACAAAAATAAAAAGATGATATTTATGGAACAGAACCCGTGGGTATATGAAGGGTATATGAAGGGCCTCATAGAGGCATAACGCTTATTAGATAACATCTCCGGAAACTATATAGACAAGGAAAGCCATAATAGTTGCACTGATCCACCCCTGACCAGACCAACATTAAACGCGGCCGCTCTTCGGCAGGAATGTTAACTATTTTAATCGTTTTTGGGGCATGAAATAAAAGCTCCTGCTAACAATCCTTCATTCCAGCTATTCGGAAGTTTTCCACCATTCAAACGGTACCAATAGTGCCAATGATAAGCATCTGGTAAATCGTTGACTTACCAGGTCTAAAGCCACACTAATAAGATTCAATAAGATTGTTGACACTGGGCTTTAGTCTGTAACACAATACGCTTGATAGGATGCGATGTTAAGGATTCTTGTCCCAAGGTAATTGGTGCAGATTGTGGGATCGCCTTTTTCGTGGATTTCATCTTAACATATTTTGCAAAGCAGCTGATGCATGCAACGGATCAGTTCTTCATCGTCGTATTTCTCCCAACCGCGACACTGCAGTCCTTAGCGTACCGGCTATTTTTGCGACATTTGCGAAATCCAATAGCTTCGTTTGCAGCTTTACTTAGGGAGCTCGAAATGTCGTCCCACAGTTCCCTCATACCGTGTTGCTGATGAGTGCTCTCAGAGAGAAGGAGTGCAAGTCGAAAACCGCTCGGCAGTCTCAAAAATACCTTCTTTGCATACCCAAGCGCGATTTTCACATCGTGGCGCGGGCAACGCTCTTGAATACGCTCCAGGCACTCATAAAAGGCATCCTACAGCACATCAGCACATGCTAAAAAAAATCGCTTTGATGCGGAATGTGGCGAGATGTTCAGCCAACGAGGCTAGTACTCGGCGACGGCGTCTCTCTCTCACCACGAATCCGAACCCAAGTTTGTGCTCTTTTATATGGCCGCTATGTTTAATACCACAGCGCATATTTGGCTCAAGTAAATAGGAAAAAGAGAAAATACCAATTCTGACAGTTTTTATACCTGGGTTACTTGAAAGCCAAGGGGACAGAGAGACACGAAAAGATCGATGAGGGACATCCGTAAAAGATAGATAGACACATAGAGAGAGAGAGAGAGAGAGAGAGTGAGAGAGATACAGCGAGAGAGAGTTAGTAAGAGAGGTACTGAGAGAGAAAGAGGGAGAGAGAGAAAGTGAGAGAGATACAGCGAGAGAGAGTTAGTAAGAGAGGGAGTGAGTGAAAAAGAGAGAGAGAGAGGAGAAAGCCGACTTACTCAGTGTAGGCCAAGCCTTAGGCAGCTTGCGGTGAAGCGGAGTATTGTTCCAACAAAAAAAAAAGAAGTGCGTAATGGGAATTCACATTCTTCAAGAGATTATAAACTTAGTGTAAGTTAACACTACAGATGTAGATGATGGTCTTCTACTCCAAATGGCCGTTCGAGTTCTACTCCAAATGGCCAAATAGCAATCCACCTTCAATGCTAATGATGATTTGCTACGGTCTGATTCTCTACCGCACTCAACTACTTTCGTTCGACTTGCCTTTTATCAGACCCACGAAAGATAAGTAGTCTGAGATTCAAAGATGTAATATGAACCATGAATACCTAGCCCCGGTATATTATATGAGTAGGAATGAAGTCGCTGAACGAGGCGGTACAAAATCGTACCCCTTTTTTCGGTGTCCGATAACTCTCAGTACTATAGCCTTCCATAACTACAAGGATAAAAGCTGAGCCCAAAGAGGGTAAGCAAGCCCGATCTATCCAAGAAAAAAGCTTCTCTTCTTTGTGAATGGAAAAGACAAACCAAATTCCAGCCCATCCAAAAATGTATTCATTCCTCTATGTTTCTCTTATAAAATATCTGACGCCAAATATTATCGGTACTTTCGTTTCTAACTACAATCTAAATCATGTTTATAGTTTCGCTCATACTCGTATATACATACGGGTATATGTATGCTTTGCGAGTGTTCGGATTAAGATGAAAGCAAAAATAAAAAAAAAAAATCTTAATATTTTTATTACATTATTATTTAGTTTGCGTTTGCCGTTTTCAACATTTAACTGCAAATCTCGTATGAAAAACTATTCGTGCGTGAATTGCAAAATACGAAAGCAAGGCAAAGAGCTGGGCAACAACAAGAGTAACGACCGTGAGAGCAGGAAAAAACATATCGTGAAAGAACCCTCCATTTTTCAGCTTTGCGCACGTGACTAACATTTACGCGGGCCACAACACACACCCACACACACCCACACACACTCGAGCATCAGCACCATACCTTCATGGGAGCCTTCAAACGTCCAGCATCTACATATTCCTGCGTTTAAAGTGAAGAACGCTTTAAGCAGCAGCAAGGGAGTAGGCACAGTAAAGCAAATACAAATTCAGTGAGTGAGGGTGCGAGTAATGTAGTAGTGCACACCCATTCACAGGCGCGCACATATACACAAGCACACAGACACATATCCACATCACGTTCAAACGCTACCATACGCCGCCTCACCACGCCATGCCGCGTCACGCCACATTTCCGCCTTTACTTTTGCGCGCATTTCCGCTTCCTTTAGCAAACTAATGCGAGCAAAAGCTTATATACGAATATGAATATATATGTACACTACACAAACTATAAACATGCATACTAATATGAAGATATACTCTTACGAGTATATGGAAAATAGGCTCACAAGTGTGTATTAGCATTTTTGCATTTCAGTGTGAGCAGCGGGCGGTTGGGCGGTCGGACGGTTGTAGAGTGCGCTGGGTAAGACGGGCAGTCAAGGAGTTGAATTTGTAGTTTTTGTATTTGGTTTTTTATCTCGCAAGCATTACCTTTTTCCTACTGTTTCGTGTTTCGCTTTTTGATGTTTTTTTCGCCTATTTCTTTTCTTGATCCTTCTGACTCGTTTAGTCGCTTAAGCGTTTTTAGCTGCCAAGTGTGCGCTTTATATGTACATAAATTCAAATACACTTACTTACTTATATACAAAAAGCATGTATTTATTTATGTAATAGTTTTTATTGGTTTATGTAATTGGCACAAACGCGCCTGGCGCAAAGTGTACGGAAAACTGGCAATGACGACCAGTCAAACAGGCTGTGGAAAAGGGATAAAGGAAATAACCGTAAAACAAAAATAATACCAATAAAAGTAAAATAAAAAGAATAAAATAAAATGTTTGTTGGTAGTTTCAGATATTATTGTTGCTGCCTTGCGCTTGGCACAAATCTTCTTTAATAAAGTAGGAAATAACGCACAGCCCTTATGCCGATTCATGGACCCACGCGTCGGTGGCGACCGCGCAGCTCGCGTAAAGGCGATTATCCCAAGCTTGTAGCTTTGACTTTCAGTTAAGTAATTGCACACGTGTGTGTGGGTGTGTGTTTGCTACAAAAACTGCAAAAGCTGCCTTATTTCAGAAGTATGGTTGAGTCTCGTGATTTTATTACGACGCTCTGAAATCATATTTTCAGAAATATATTTCACTTCCTCTAAACTGCTCTGGCCTGGAAGTCTACTGCTCCTCTATTTACAGCAGCAACTTTGTTGTAGTACGTACCGAGATCATTTAACGATATGCAGCAGATTAGTAATGGGGTGTGAATTTGTTGGACCCTTCCTGATTCTAGGCCACATCAAGGAGCAAGAGCGACGTTACCGTACCAAGGCTACTACTGCGTCGGAATTCCATACTTCCCTAGAGGCCCCATGATTCGATGCAGAGGTTAATCTAACTTGAAATAGTTGATTCTAGCACCACCAGCATGGATGGTTCCATCATACAATATTACAAGATACTCGTAATACACTA